AAACTAAGCTCAAAGTAGCAGAAATGTTAAATTTTTGCCGATATTCAAGAGTAAACAAACGACCTCACACGTCTAATACACGTCAGCTGGTGGGTCTAATATACATTCACAAATATGGTGATGATATTTATACAATTATTACAGTATTGCATAACAGTAAATCTTCTATTTTTTGGTGTGAATAAAAATTCATTATGTGAATAAAAAATCAAAATGGAATTTATTTGTAAAGCCTCAAAACATAACTAATGAACAGAGGAAATGTTAGTTTAGTGCCAGGAATGCCTACATTGTTCATTCTGGACCCTATTTTGAAATTGGAATATTTTGAACTTTGTGTTAAATTGGCCAAATTAACAATTTCCGATCACTTTATTTTGTAGTTGAAACAGTTGACTTGGCGATTTCTTGTGCTCAATCGATAGAATAGAAGTAATGCTAGTGAAATAGCTAAGAATTTGGTTGATTGGAATAATGTAATTGGCCTAAAATGGGAGTCAAAGTCGGCAAAATCGCCGATTCGTAAATATCGCTGACACATCAAAATTCGCGAGAGCATAATTTCGTCAATTTTCCACCAAATTTCGTACTTTTTGTTTTATTACCTTCACAAAAAGATTCTCTACGATTTCATAAGAAAAAATAACAAATTTTTTTTTTTTAAATTCTTGGACACTGGTGCGTGACTCCAGATTTGGGCCTTGGACCCTGAAAGGGTTAAGACTTGAGGTGTCAAGTCCTTTTCTGGGGTTACTTCCCTTCTTCTTTTAATGCCACTAGGACCAGCTTCAGAGTCACTGGACTTCTTTCGCACAACATATCTGTCCATAGTGGCCTGTACCTCTCGTTCCTTTATGACTTCCCTAAAGTGTTTCACAACATTGTCAGTGTACAGGTTGCCAACACGGCTTGCAATAGCTGTGTGAGGGTGATTTTCATCCATGAAGGTTTGCACTTCAAGCCACTTTGCACAGATTTCTTTAATCTTTGTAGTAGGCAACTTCTTCAATTTCTCTCTCCCCTCCTCTGAACCAGTTTCCTCAGGTCTGGCCTCTTGCTCTTGAAGTTGATCTATCAGCTCATCAGTGGTTAGTTCTTCATTGTCCTCCTCCACCAACTCTTCCACATCCCCCCCACTAACCTCCAACCCCAAGGACTTTCCCAATGCCACAATGGATTCCTCAAGTGGCATAATCCTCTCAGGGTTAGCCTCAAACCCTTCAAAATCCCTTTTGTCTACACATTCTGGCCACAGTTTCTTCCAAGCAGAGTTCAAGGTCTTCTTAGTCACTCCCTCCCAAGCCTTACCTATAAGGTTTACACAATTGAGGATATTAAAGTGCTCTCTCCAAAACTCTCTTAGAGTCAGTTGAGTTTCTGAGGTCATACAAAGCACCTTTCAAACAGAGCTTTTGTGTACAGTTTTTTGAAGTTTGCAATAACCTGCTGGTCCATGGGCTGCAGGAGAGGAGTGGTATTAGGAGGCAAAAACTTCACCTTAATGAAGCTCATGTCCCCATAAAGTCGCTCTGCCACGTCTGTAGGATGACCAGGGGCATTGTCTAACACCAGGAGGCACTTAAGTTCTAATTTCTTTCAGTTAGGTAATCTTTCACATTGGGGGCAAATGCATGGTGTAACCAGTTATAGAAAAAGTCCTAGTGACCCATGCCTTACTGTTTGCCTCCACAGCACACACAAATTATCCTTGAGGACATTCTTTTGCCTGAACGCTCTGGGAGTTTCAGAGTGATACATAATAAAGGCTTAACTTTGCAATCACCACTAGCATTGGCACACATCAACAAAGTAAGCCTGTCTTTCATAGGCTTATGTCCTGGGAGTGCCTTTTCCTCCTGAGTAATGTAGGTCCTGCTTGGCATTTTCTTCCAAAACAGGCCTGTTTCATCACAATTAAACATTGTTCAGGTTTCAGTCCTTCACTGTCTATGTACTCCTTGAATTCCTGCACATATTTTTCAGCCGCTTTGTGGTCCGGGAACTGGCAGCCTCACCATGCCTTATCACACTATGGATGCCACTACGCTTCTTAAAATCTCTCAAACCAACCTTTGCTGGCCTTAAATTTCATCACATCATCACTAGTTGCAGGCATTTTTTTTAATTAAATCCTCATGCAACTTCCTAGCCTTTTCACATATGATCGCTTGAGAGACGCTATCTCTGCTAGCTGTTTTTCATTTATCCACACCAATAAGAGTCTCTCAACATTTTCCCATCACTTGCGATCTTTGTTTCGAAAACACAGTTAAACCTTTGGCAAGAACAGCTTCCTTGATTGTCTTTCTGGTGCCCACAATAGTAGCGTGGTTGATTGGGGTTTCTTGTCAACTTGACCAGGTCGGCGATACGCACCCCACTTTCATACTTATCAATGATTTCTTTCTTCATTTTCTATTGGAATTCTCCCCTTATTGGTGTGGGGTTTGGGCACTAGAAGCTTTCTTGGGGCCCATGGTCACTTATTTTCCAGAAACAGCACCGAAAAACACTGTAAAATACGAAATTTCCGATTGTTTTGCTTGGAAGGTTACCGCGGGGGGCTGGCTGGTAAACAATGGCACGGGCGGCACATGTGAGGCTGGTGAGGGCGCACATTGGACGGTTTTGGACGAAAAATCGGTGAGGGGTTTTTTAATCGGTATGCGCGGCAAAATTTTTGCGATTAAAGCAAGCGGTATGCGGATTAATCGCTATGTGATGCCATCGTTATGCGGGGGTCCACTGTACTAGTATGGCACCAACCTTGGCGCGTAAGTCATACTAGTACGGCACCAACCATGGCACGTAAGCCATTTCTAGTACGGGCACCAACCTGAAAGGGTTAAACATTGAAAAATAAAAAAAAAACTCATAATTTGGCATCAATAAGTTATAAAATGTAAATACTACAATGCACATTTATGCAACTGTAGAGCAATCATTTTTCTCCAAAACAGCACACTGCAAAATTGTAGGTTTTCTCTCCATTTCATTTTTCTTTCCATACTTTTGTTTCAATAAAATAGGCTTCTTCAGTGTATTTTTTTTTTTCCAAGATTTCTGTACACACGAACAAGGGAATTAAAAATGCAGAACCAACCATAGTTAGATGACTAGAAGGCAAATTATAGTGTGGGTGGCATTGCAGGTTGAGGATTGAGGGATGAAAAACCCATGACATGCACTTCCACCACTCAGTGCCTTCATTGATCATCTCTTGATTTTTTCAGTAGCATTAAGACAATTACATGTAGTAGACTTGTGCTCTAATTCAATTGAAAGTTTATTCTCTATAAGGATTACAATGCTGAGTTTACAGAATTTGGTTATTGTGTGGTTTACATGTAGTAAAATAATAATTACAGAGTGTACCACTAGAACACTTAGCATGGCTAGGCATTTTGGGCAGACTTAGATTAAATCTTAAGTTTAAAATATTACAAATTATGAGGTAAGTTGGTATTATGGCTAAGTGACTAAATACTACGTGACTTAAGAAATCGTAATGACACGATTGCAAATAAACCATAACCCCGGCCGGGATTGAACCCGCGGTCATAGTCTCAAAACTCCAGCCCGTCACGTTAGCCACTAGACCAGCTAGCCACAATAAGATTCATCCAACTAGGTATATTTCTACACCATAGGAAGGTTAGCACAGGCACCTCTGTGACCACAAATGCAAGTTTTTTCAGACGAATCTCCAGCTAGCGTGGCCGTGACGAACTCTAGCTCAAGTCCCTTCACTGCCGTCAACATGAGTCATGTTGACATGACTCATGTTGATGGCAGTGAAGGGACTTGAGCTAGAGTTCGTCACGGCCACGCTAGCTGGAGATTCGTCTGTAAAAACTTGCATTTGTGGTCACAGAGGTGCCTGTGCTAACCTTCCTATGGTGTAGAAATATACCTAGTTGGATGAATCTTATTGTGGCTAGCTGGTCTAGTGGCTAACGCGACGGGCTGGAGTTTTGAGACTCTATGACCGCGGGTTCAATCCCGGCCGGGGGTATGGTTTTTTTTGACTAAATACTAGTTTGTGAGTTTAGCAATGTGAATGTTTTTGTTTTGGCACTATACATAGTTTAAGTATTGGAGTATCACAGGCCAACTTATTACTAGTTAAGATTCATTATTTTAAGATTGAGATTGATATTTCTGTTTATGGTCAAATGGGTGAGTGAGTGTAAGTGTGAACCACCAGGTGGTATTCGTGTAATTAGTTGACAGGGTGTATCAGGGAGATAAGATGTTTTCTGATGGTAGTTTTGAAGGTGATGAATGTGTCTGCAATTTTATAATTTTCAGGTAGGGTGTTCCAGATTTTAGGGCCTTTGACATACATTGAATTTTTGTAAAGGTTTAGTCGGACACGGGGGATGTCATAGAAATGTTTGTGTCTGGTGTTATGCCTGTGGGTCCTGTCACAACTATCAAGAAAGCATTTTAGGTCAAGGTTAAAAATGATGTTAAAAATGATCTACCTAATTCATTTGTCTGTCTCTATTCAGTCTACATTGACAAGAGAAGAATCAATGGGAAAAAAGGCACTTGCAAAGAGAAAAAAGACTAGGATGACTAATGTTATTTTTAACTGGAGACAAGTAGAAATTGGTATTTTTTCCCCTTTTTACTAAAATTTTAATTTAAATCAAGGATTTACAAATGAGGTTCAGCTGTATCTAAATTGAAATGCAGTGTATCATTATCTGACCCCCTCCCCCCCTCCCTTCAACAGAGGGGAGGACATGGTGCTGGATTATCAACCACACCAGATGATCACATCCTATGTTTTTTTTTTTTTCTCACAATCTCTTTTAGCATTTTTTGTTAAGGAGCCCAATCAGACATCACTAGATAATGTGACATGCTGATTAATCAATGGCAGGATAATTGATGATCAGTTGTACAATGTTTAGAAAGAAAGTACATAAATTGTGAAAGACAATTCAGCGAATGACGTAAAATAATGACTAATTTTTGTTCGTGTGTTACAGGCATTTGCTCAAGAAGGACTGGTTGACTGTGGGCTGGATGCAGCTCTACGTAACTTGATCTGCTCACCACGTCAGAGTGAAGGAGAAGCCAAACTTCCTCTCTCATATAGGGAAGTAACTTTCAAAGATAATAAATTCACTTGGACAGATAAATTACAATGATACAGTAATAAAATTAGGCTTTTTAATATATGTATTTATTAATCACTTGTGTAAAAAAACTGATGTAAAGAACAGGAGATCTATGTTTATTATAGCTAATTCCAATGTATATGAATGTATATGAAAGTAAGTTCTGTAGCATAATTTTTTTTACCAGGATATTAAATATTTTTTGTAAAGAGATAATTTAATTACTGAGTATGTATCATGTATTGTCCAGCACTTGGATTTATTGCCCTCTTGCATTTTTATTTATGTGACTTTTATTATTGTAGACTTACTATTATTATTTTTTTAAATCCTTATCATTACTCACTAAAAACACATTTACATATTTCTTTGTATGAAGATAAAGATACAAGGTGGCACACAAGCTTTTATGGAAATATTTGACTAAGTGTGGAGTTTTACAGAGTCAAACATTATCTAGTTCTGTATGAGCTTATTCTGCAACTTGTCTTTATGCACCATTTCATCTACATTCATTTTCTTCATTGTCTTTGGTTATTAGTTACAGTAGTGTAGAAAGGGTAACTATCTCCTTCCATCATAGTCTCCTACAGCACTCAAAATTTCCTTTGGTACTTTTATATTCTATTATCTTTCAAAGGGGTTGTCTTGATGCCAGAGAAGGGCACCTGATTCAGGGAATTGGAGCAGTCCTCTGCCTCCTTAAATCAAACCTGATTTACCGCCCAGTGCTATATGACTTGCATGGGTTTAGCACTTCCCTGCTGTCACACATGGAGACTGCTGAGATCACTATATAAAAATATTATTTAATAATCCTTTAAATTTAACAGATACATTCAGCTGTAAATTTTGGGAAAATTACAAATCTAGAAAATTTAACTGTATAGTTATTTTCAGCCATCATTTCTGCATTTTTTATATAAATGTAACTGATAACTTATGAAATAAACATGATTGATGTCTTATAAAATTTATTCTTTTCCCGAAGATGGAAGACATGCATTTTTGGTAATTTAATATAGGCTTTTATAGATATTGAAAGCTAGGTGATAAATATTTTTATTCTTAACATTAGGAGTTGAGCCGAATTTGTGTGTTCTTGTCTGAATTAATGAGATTTATGAAGACTGAGTAATTAATTTTGCAAAACAAATAAAGAATATTTTTTAATCTCTAAAATTTCCTGTTGGATTGATATAATATCTTATTTTGAAGATTACTTTATAATACAAGAAAATGTAAGATCATCATAATCACAACTAAGTACTTAATCCATAAGGTCATACAGTACTGTGGAAAATGTAAGAAAAATCAGTTGGTAACTTATCATTGTAACCCTTGGGTGAGAGATGACCAAACATAAAAGTTTTAGCTGTTTCTATGTTCAGTATGTACTGTGGTACAAATATCTGTGTACACTCAACCTTTGCTTATCAACCATAGTTATGTTAAATGAATGAAATTTTTTCTTGTTATAACCTGCAGGTGCTTAACCCTTTGACTGTTTCAGCCATGAACCAATGTTTCCGACGTATTAATGCGCCAAAATTCTAGCGGTTTCAAATCAAGCGGGAGAAAGCTGGTAGACCCACATGTGAGAGAATGGGTCTCTATGGTCAGTGTGTGCAATATGAAAAAAATTGGGGAGCCAGTGGTGCATTTTGGGGATGCCATTTCAGTAATCCTTGTTCAGCATGCCTAGCAGTAAGAAATATCTGACTCCCCGGCAAATCTGGGACTCATCTCTTCCCAAGTGATAGCTCTAACACAAATGGAAGTGTCTCTGAAGATGAATTTCGTGGTTTTGAGGAGTTTGTGACCGAAAGCAGTGCCCGGGATACCAGAAGGAAGGAAGAAAGTAAGGAAGGAATGAATTATGAAAGGAAGAAAGAAACAGAGGAAGGAAAGAAGTAAGGAAGGTAGCAAGAAAGGAAGGATGAGATGAAATTAAGGAAGGAAGGAAGGTAGGTAGGTGGGAAGGAAGGATGGTTGGGAAGAAGGCATGGGACCCCTGGGTGTTGACGGGCAGTAAGGGTAGAGAGTGATGGTATAATTTGTCATTTTGACAGCAGCCACACCCTCAGCATATTTACAAGTCCACAAACACACACACACACACAACACCAAGCTTCCAGAAGCTAATAGCAGTTCTTTGAAACTGTCCAGTGACTTTATATGTGTATATATATTATAGAAACCAGAAGGAAGGAATGACGAGATGAAAGGAAGGATGGAATGATGACACACGACCATTTACCTAGGTAGTAGGTTGGTAGACAGCAACCACGGAGGGAGGTACTACCGTCCTGCCAAGTGAGTGTAAAACGGGACCCTATAATTATTTTACATGATGGTAGGATTGCTGGTGTCTTTTGTCTGTCTCATAAATATGCAAGATTAAAGGTGTAAAAGTCAACTAAAATGCTGGGAACAATGGACTAGTAACCCCTTTTCCTGTGCAAATTACTAAAAATAATAATAAGAAAATTGTCAAAATGGGATGTGTGAATGTGCGTGGATGTTGTGCGAATGATAAGAAAGAGATTGTGGCATGCAAAGAGTACGTAACCTTTATTCGGCGCATGTACACACCCTCATTTACAGGCTATCTCCCCCAACCGGCGAACCAGGGACTAAGGGTTGATGATGGGGCCCCGTCGTTCAATCGGTACCCAGGTTCCAGCCAATGAGAATACGGTTTTGGCAATCGCAGAGGTGATGTGGGTACCACTCGCCTGTCTGCCCTTGTCATTCCCATTCTAGAGCTGGTTGAAGCACAATCTGCTCTCTAGTGGCTTCTATTCTACCTTGCTTACTGTGGAGTGCACAAATACCTATTGTTGTACATAGTGTATATAGTGTACATACTTTTGCTCTAAATTGGTGAAGGATAATATAGGTCAAAAGTTTTTCTGCTGTGTTTATTTTGCTCCCTTTACACCCAGGATAACAGGCCTTTTGGACTCCTGGGTTGTAATATGGGTAGCCTGTCTGAGAGCTGGAGCTGGACTTAGAGCACGGGTTGAGCCTAGGGTGACGCTGGAAGCAGGAACATTGTGAAGCTTGCTGTCTGGCATTGCATTTGCTTTGCCAACGCTTTACAAACTTTGCGTGTCAATTGCCTTGCTATGGTCAGCTTTGCTATTGTATGATCGTTCAACAGCTCGCTACTAGCTTGTTCGGTGTGCTCGCTTCACTACGGTCAATCTTGTGTGAAGATTTTGCAGTCAGCTTTGCTATTGTGTATCCACCTTGCAAGCGTATGTGCGTATTCTGCAGTTGTATTGTGCATAGCTAAGCATGTTCTGCAAATAACATGTTACATTGGGTATTCTGCAATCGTACTGTGCATGGCAAATAACTTATACATTGGGGTATGCCACCTAGACAAGTCAGACATCTGGTGTCTGCATATACTTTATTTAACTTGCCTAAATTGCCCTTACAGCATTGTTGGCAAATTGCTCGTTCCATTGACATTGATTACAAATGCACTCTCACATCTGCGCAAATGCGTTCACTGATCACCGATAAACTTCGGGAAGAGGAGATGGCACATCAGACTCCTCCCTCTACAGGAGCCAGGAATAAAACTCCGATGTTCTCGCAGGAGGAAGATGATACATCAATGGAGCTAATTCGTCAGTCTAGTGCAGCAGGGTTGTCTCAGAGCGAATCAGCTGCGTTGGCACTTGAGCTGGCAAAAATCAATCTTGAGCAGACCAGTTAACAGAGGGCATTTGCCAAGGAAGAGTTTGATAGGGAAAAAGAAAGAAGGCAGTTTTCGCAAATTGTAAATGACTTTAGTTTACAGAAAGCAGTACAGCTTGTTCCCCGCTTCAATGAGGCCGAACCAGAACAATTTTTCGAAGCTTTCGAAAATCAGGCTCGAGCCTTGAGGTGGCCGGAACAGCACTGGGCATCGTTGGTTCACACAGCATTGTTTGGTAAGGCACAGGAATTTACGTCAGTGTTAAATGACACTGATTTTTCCGATTATAAAGTAGTGAAGACCACAGTTTTGAGAGCATATACATGTATCCCAGCTAAGTATAGGAAAAACTTCAAGTTAGGCAGATGACAGCTTGGTCAATCCCTGGTTGATTTTGTGCGACAGCAGACTAAAGCTTTTACCAGCTGGTATAAAGCAAGTGGTGTTGCTACCTTCGATGATCTTGTGCAGCTTATTCTGGTTGACAACCTACTGGAGTCTGTGGGACCAGAGGTTAGGGTCTTTCTGCAGGATCGTGACTTAACCACTGCATTGGAGGCAGCCAGGTTGGCTGATACTTTTGAAACTAACCGCTCTTTGTCCGAGCGATCCCATCTCTCTTTTAAACAGCCTGGCATGAGCAGAGATCATCAACCTTGGAGGATGAAGTACCAGCCGGAGGGAGAACGTCTACGTCAGCCAACTAAGTCAACTGGTGAGCCACGCTTCTCAACTTATGGTCCACCTGGTGAGAGACAAACCACTCAACATGGTGTAACTCGACAACAGTATCCAGAGAGACACCAGCCAGAGCGACACCAGTTGCAATGTCAGCAGGGAGATAAGGGCAAGCCTGTCGTCTGCTTCCTGTGTAACAAAGTTGGTCACATCCGTCCCAACTGCCCCCACAAACCCCAACCTATTGGGAAAATCTCTAATATCCCTAGTAACATGTCCCTGAAAGAAGTAGAGAAAGGGATGGCCCCTTATTACTGTCAGAGTCTTATTTCCCTTCAGGAAAACTCCAAAACAACTGAAGTCAAAACCTTTAGAGATACTGGAGCATATTGCTCACTTATAAGAGAGGGAATATTACCCCTTTCAAAGAACACCTTAAATTCCTCTGTTTTGTTGGAAGCATTTGGAGGAGCTATATATTCTGTCTCCTTGCATAGAATTTATGTACAGTGCAAATATTACACTGGATACTTGACTGTGGGTGTATCCGAGGAATTCCCCATGAAAGATGCCATGTTATTACTGGGTAATAACATTACCACTGCTAGTGTATGTCCTGAACCCATAATGATTAATTCTTCTCCGGTGTTGGCCATAACTCGGGCAACATCCCAAGGGTTGTCTGGCGAGAATGCTGACCTACCCTTGGACGACTCCGATCTCGGAATAGCCAATTTGTTTTACGAGGAAAACTGGCCAGGGCCTCATAGATCAAGTCAACAGACCCAGATCAAGCCTTCCTATTCCAGGGTAGCAGGATTGCCAGATATCTCTGTTTTCATGCCCGAGGGACTGTGCTTCCGGGAGGAACAACGAAAGGACCCTTCTTTGAATTTCGCTTTTCAGGCAACCATGGGTAAATCCTCTTTGGATCATCTGGTCAAGTATAAACTTAAAAACGACTATTTGATTTGCACTGAGACTGGTAAGGAGATAGAGGGCCAGCAACTGTCAGACAGGTTAGTAGTTCCAACAAAGTTTAGACCTCAAATATTGAATATAGCTCATAATACTTCATTAGGAGGTCACCTAGGAATTACTAAAACATTATTTAGAATCACAAAAGAATTCTATTGGCCAAAATTAAGGCAGGATGTGAAGAATCATATCTGGTGTTGCCGAGAATGCCAGCAAGTAGGGAAACCTGGACATTCTATTAAACCTGCACCTCTCCAGCCTATACCTGCTGATGGAGAACCTTTTGCAGAATTAATCATAGACTGTGTAGGTCCACTACCTAAGTCAAAGTCTGGAAATCAGTATTTATTTTCCATTATGGATAGAGTAACTAGATACCCTGAAGCAATTCCCATGCGCAGTATTAATACTAAAGCTATTCTCAAAGCTTTAACAAGATTTATTTCTTGTTTTGGCATTCCTAAAACTATTCAAAGTGATCAAGGTACTAACTTCACTGCCAAAGCATTTAGGGAAGCATTAACTAGGTTAGGGATAATCCACAACTTATCCACTGCCTATCATCCTCAGTCCGAAGACGCCT